ACATTGGGCTCCCGGCTCAGCTGGGAGCCTGCTTCTCCCTCTCCCTCTGTCTGCTGCTCTGCCTACTTGTGCTCTCTCTTTCTCTCTCTGTCTAATAAATAAATAAAATCTTAAAAAAAAAAAGAAAACTGAACAGCCACATGGAAATAATGAAACCCCTATCTTATACCATACATAAAAATCAACCCAAAATTAAAAAGTAAAGACTTGAACATAAGACCCCAAATCATAAAATTCCTAGAAGAAAATATAGGCAGTAAGCTCCTTGACATTGGTCTTGCTGATGATATTTTGGGCTTGACACCAAAAGGCAATAAAAGCGAAAATAAACAAGTGGGACCACATCAAAATAAAAAGCTTCTGCACAGCAAAGGAAACCAGCAACAAAATGAAACAGCAAGCTACCAAATGGGAGAAAATATTTGCATCTCATATATCTGATAAGGCATTAATATCCAAAATATATAAACAACTCATACAAGTCAATAGCAACAACAACAACAATCCAGTTAAAAAATGGGCACAGGATCTGAATAGACATTTTTCCAAAGAAGACATAGAGATGGCCAACAGGTACATGATAAGGTACTCAACATCACTAATTATCAGGAAAATGCACATAAAAAGCACAATGAGACATCACCTCACACCTGTTAAAATGGTTTTATCAGAAAGACAAGAAATAACAAGTGTTGGTCAGGATGTGGAGAAAAGGGAACCCTTGTGTACTGTTGGTGGGAAAGTAAATTGGTGTAGCCACAATAAGAAATAGTATGAACTTCCTCAAAAAATTGAAAATAGACCTGCCATATGATCCAGCAATTCCACTTCTGGGTATTTATTTGAAGGAAATGAAAACACTAACTTGAAAAAAATAACTGTATTCCCATGTTCACTGCAGAAGAAGTTCCATACACACAATGGAATATTATTCAGCTGTAGAAAAAGGAAGAAATCCTGTAACAATATGGATGAACCTTGAGGACATTATGCTAAATAAAATAAGTCACAGAAAGACAAATTTGGTATGATCTCACTTACATGTGGAACTTAAAAAAAATGAACTCATAGATATAGAGAACAGATTAGTGGTTGCCAGAAGGGGGATGGGGTGGGAAATAGGCACAAATGGGCGAAGGTGGTCAAAAATTACAAACTTCCAGTTATAAGATAAATAAGTCCTGGAGATATAATGTACAACATTGTGACTATAGTTAATACCATGTTGTATATTTGAAAGTTGCTGAGAGAGTAAATCTTAAAAGTTCTCATCACAAGCAAAAAAAAAAATGTATGTTGTACCATGAAACTAATATAATGTTTTATGTCGGTTATATCGCAAAAAAATACTTAAGTCTTCAACTATTATTGTAAATTTATCTATTTCTCCATTTAATTCTGCAATTTTGGCTTCATATCTTTTGGGGCCCTTTGTTGCATACATATATGATTATAATCACTTTATCTTCTTAATATATTAACTCTTATCAATATATAATATCCTTCTTTGTCTACTGTGAACAATTTTTGACATAAAGTCTATTTTGCTTATATTATTATAGGCACCCCATCTCTCTTTGGTTACTATTTGCATGGAATATCTTCTTTTATTTTTTCCTCTTTTTCAACCTATTTGTGTCTTTGGATCTAAAGTGAGTCTTTTGCAGGCGGGATATATTTTGATCCTATTTTTAATACATTCTGCCAATTTCTGCTTTTAATTAGATAGTTTAATCCACTTACATTTAAATTGATTACTGATAAGGACTTATTTTGCCATTTTGCTATTTGCTTTCTATATGTCATTCTTTTGTTGTTCCTTAGTTTTTCCATTAAGGTCTTCTTTTATGTTTAATGGATTTTTCTAGTGTTCTATTTTGTTTCCCTATTTCCTTTTTGTGTATTTTTAAAGTTATTTTCTTAAATGGTTACCTTGGGGATTACAGTTAAAATCCTAAATTTATAACAATCTAATTTAAATTGATATTTACCTTCATTGGCATATGAAAACTCTATAAAACACCATCCCCACTTTATGTTGTCATAAATTATATACTTATGCATTTTGTATCCATTGACATAGATTTATAATAATTGCTTTATGTATTTTCCTTTTAAATAATACAGGGGAAAAAAGAGAAGTTACTAACCAAAAATACAATAATGCTGGGTTTTATATCTGCCTATATAGTAAACTTTACTAGAGTTCTTTATTTCTTTGTTTGGCTTTGAGTTACTGTCTAGTGTCTTTTCATTTCAGTCTGAAGTAGTCCCTTTAGCATTTCTTGTAGGATATATCTACTAGTTATGAACTTCCTCAACTTTTGTTATCTGAGAAGGTTTTTATTTCTCATTTTTGAAGGATACTTTGTCAATTATAGAATTCCTGATTGATGGGTTTTTTTTTTTCAGCACTATGTATTCCACTGCCTTCTGTCCTCCATGGTTTCTGATGCAAAATTGGCTGTTAGTCTTACTGAGAATGTCCTGTACAAGATAAGTCACTTTCCTCTTGCTGCACTCAAGATTCTTTCTTCATCTTTGGTATTTAACAGTTTGATTATAATGTATCTTAGTGTGGATCTCTTTGAATTTATCCTAGTTAGTATTCATTGAACTTCGTGGATTCACATCTTCTTTCAAATCTGGATCATTTTTGGCAACTATTTCTTTAAATATTCTTTCTGCCCTTTCCTTTCTCACCTCTTCTCCAGAATCTCTGATGATTACGTTGGTACATCTGATGGTGTCCCACAGGTCCCTTAGATTCTGTTCACTTTTCTTAACTATTTTTCTTCTGCTTCTCAGATTGGATGATTTCAATTGACTTATCTTCATATTCACTAATTCTTCTGCCTGCTCAAATATGCTGCTGGATCTCCATAGTGATTTGTCATTTCAGTTACTGTAATTTTAAGTTCCAGGATTTCTGTTTGGTTCCTTTTTATAATTTCTGTATTTTTATTGATGTTCTTCTCTATTTGGTGGTACTCTGTTCTCCTGGTTTCATTTAGTTCTCTGTCCATGGTTTCCTTTATCTCCCTTTAGCTCAAGACAGTTGATTTAAAGTCTTTGTCTAGTAAATCCAATGTCTGGGCTTCCTCAGGGATAGTTTCTGTTAATTTTTTTCTTGTAAATACCATATCTTCTTGTTTCCTTACATGCTTAGTAATTTTTTGTTGATAACTGGATATTTTGAGTATTATAATGTAGTATTTCTAAAAATCAGATTTCTGCCCCTCCCCAGGGTACGATACGGTTGCTTTTTTTGAGTTGTACTTGTGTGTTTCATTGGTGACTTTTCTAAATTATTTTTGTAAGGACTTTATTCTTTGCCTTTTGTGATTATTTAAGTGTCTGTTCCATTAATTTAGTGGTTTGGCAGAGCTTTCCTTAAAACAAAACAAACGAGAGCAAAAAACACCCTACCAGTCTTTGCAGATTGGTTCTGAGTTGGGGCACTCCTTCAGTGCTTAGCCAGGATGTTTACAGTTCTTTCTTAGACTTGGTTTCCTATTTACACAGAGCCTAAAGATCAGTCAGAGATGAACGCTTACAGTCTTCCCAGGTGTTTGCTGAATATGTGCCTAGCCCTGGATATGTGTGTGCCATTCTGGATTTCCCAGTATACACTGGAGCTTTTCAAAGTCTTTATTCCCCCATGTACCTCCTTTCCCAGTCTCTTCTAGGCTTTTCAGTCTGCCTGCTGCTTGCCCCATCTTTTGTCCCTTACACCAGAAAACTGAGGGTAGTATATGCCTTTGAATATTTTTCACAAACACCACTTGAAAGACAATTCAAACCCTGAGAGTGTTTTGAGTTGAGTGAAACAAAGGTAAGCCCTTGAACCAATTCTTCAGGAAGCCACCAAATTAAGTCAAAATGCACAACCATAATGCTTTGAGGAAAAAAAGGTCTATAATGCCTCCTCCAACAGCAAAAAGTCACACCAGAACATGAGCCACCATCCCCTTGACCATCACTAAGCTATAAAATGGGGAATGGTTGTGGCAAACTGGGCTAAGGACTTTAAAACAAGCAATCCTATTATGAACTGAAGTAACATAATATATACCTGAAAAGTTCTTTGAGCTATTGGTATGCCTAAGTGAGAAGTAATTTTACTTTCCTAAATAAGTAACAATAGAAGATTGGTATTAGACATGTAACATTCCAATCTCAGTAGAAACTATCTCTGTTTATACACTTACCAGCAATTGAAAAGTAGAAGTTATACTCTATTAGAATGTTTGCAAGGAAGCTAAATTCTATCACTCCAAAATGAAAAGTTACAAATTTGTTTTCTCTAGATGCTTTCCTATAAAAATCAATTCTTTTACTGATAATTTATATGGGATTTTTGTTGTTGTTAAAAAGACCACTGTGTAACTTTGAACAAGTCATTCAACCTCTCAGACTAAACACTCTCCTCTATACCATTGCTATTCAAAGTTTGGTCTACAAACCAACAGAACTGGCATCACTTGGGAACTTGTTAGAAATGCAGAATATCAGGCCTACTATACCCTGGTATAGGATACTGCTCTACCCCAGACCTACTGACTCAGAACCTGCATTGTAACAAGATCACATATGAATGATATACATATAAAAGTAAGTCTGAGAAACACAACTCTATACAATAAGATATTGGTGGGGGGGTAACTAAATAATCTTAAAGACCCTTATAACTGATTTTTCTGAAAAATCAGATCTGATAACATTGGAGCCTGTATTATCTTGTGGCAACAATCAGCTACAGTTCAGTAGCAGCTACCCCATTAGATGGGGCATGAACTCTCTTTGGCCCTCCCAGTCCTCATCTAGCCTCCTTCATGTTTTTATGTTAACTGCTTGGCCCCTAATTCAGCCTCTAATCTAAATCAGATTCTAATCAGAATTGAGGAAGTCCCTTTTAAAATAAAAAAATGGGTACCTTCATAGGTAAAAATGCATTAGCTATATGTGTCTTTAGGTGAAAGAAAAAAATGTTCACTTACCTTGATGGGAAGTAGTGAGGTCCAGGTAGGAAGTAAGGGTGATGAAAAGAAAATCGTGGTGGTGTCCCAAACAACGTGGCTGGATGGCCAAGGGGAGGAGCCTGGTAGACATGTGAGTGTGGAATAGGAGGAGCCTGGGGGATTGGAGCACTTCTGGGACAAGTGGAAACGCTGGGATACTCCTTGGGAGGTTGGATGGTTGAGGTCACAAATCTGGCATGGGCAGTACTTGCACTAGTTGGGATCCTGTTGGTGTTCTCCAGAGAGACTGGAGTGGGTCTCTTCACAGAGCGACTGGCTCCGGAATGCAGCCGATGAGTGTCTGTTTGGGAGGGCCCAGCAAAGCCCTGGGGTGGGACTGCCGGGCAGAGGGGCAGACTTGGAGCCTGGACGGCCACCTGGGTAGCACTGGAGACGCTGGGCTGGAAAAGTGAGATGGGGCTTGGGCGCTGGACTGCAGGTGTGGGCAGCTGGATGGCAGGTGGGGCATCACCTTTAGAAATAAAAATAGCATAGGTCTGACATTAATTGAGTTGCTCCATGTTTTTCTTTTTTCAGAATTTAATAAGCTGTACAATCAGAAGCCTTCACTAACCACCTCACCTACTAACATTACCACATCACACTACTCTATTTCCTTTATAGTATTTGAACAAATCAAAATCATTTTGTTTACCTATTTTACATTTTTTGTCTCTCTTTCCCATCTAGATTCTAAGTGACATGAGAGGAGAGACCTATTCTGTTTTGCTCTCTGCTGTATCTCCAGGGCTCAAAATTCTGTATGGCACAGAATAGGTCCTCAACAAATATTTTTTTTTTTTTAAGATTTTATTTATTTATTTGACAGAGACAGAGACAATGAGAGCAGGAACACAAGCAGGGGGAGTGAGAGAGGGAGAAGCAAGCTTCCCACAGAGCAGGGAGCCCAATGTGGAACTCAATCCCAGGACCTCGGGATCATGACCTGAGCCAAAGGCAGATGCTTAATGACTGAGCCACCCAGGCACCCAACAAATATTTCTGAATGGATAAATAAATGAATAAAATTGAGTGATTGAGTGAAAGATGAATACATACAGATGCTAATGCATATATATAAATATTTCTTTAAAAAAATAATATGAAACTACAGATAGTGGTTACTTTTAAGGAACAATCATCTGGGAGAAGAGACAGGGCAATGTGGCAAAAAGAAAAGCTAGACTTTTATTATACATCTATTGGTACTGTTAAATTTTCTATTGTGTAAATATATTAACCTTACTTTGAATATTGAGGTTTCAGGGAAGTGTATGGGTCATTTTACTACTATCCCATATACTTCTCTATATTAATCTGACATTAAAATGACATTTAATTTTTTGATTGAAAAAATAAACAATCAGTAAAATTATTTTGCTTTATTGCATTCAATGTCAATGTGATTACAGAAGGAAATTCCCAGGTGAGAAGAGGACTTGTCACAGGTCAACAATTTGTGACAGATATGAAAGTAGTATTATTGCAGCGAGGCATAACAAATATGGCAGAATTTTATAGGTAGGTGAAACAATCGTGTTCTTGAACAAGAGAGGACTACTAATTGAGTTACCAAGTTATTCAAATGACACATTTAGCCTAAACTTAATTAAACTTTTCCAAAGAAATACAGAGAGAAGCCATGGCAAGAGAGTCATGATCTGGTTTATTCCAGTGCAGTTAGATCTCTGTTAATATAGAAGATGGAGTCCAAGAACAGACTCTATGATTAGAAACATGTCTCTGTGAGAGGCTGAAAGGAATGTGGATCTTCTCTTAGCCTTGCCCAGTGAAGGCCTTTCCTTCCTTCTTTCTCTCCAGATGAGGCATATAATACTCCTCTTAAACCTGCAGGTAGGTATTTATCTGTTACTAATTATCTGTTACTAATGATCTGGTAATTATCTGTTAATCTATCTGTTTCAAAGATGGCCCCTGAGCCAGTGAAGCACAGATAACACAGGGGCAGGGTGTAAGTGAAGCTGTCCTGGTGCTCGTAGTTGATAGGGTTATGTGCCCTCCCATCTGCGAGGCACAGGCCCTAGGCTTTTCCTGATTGATCAGGCATAAAGTAATCTCCCTCTTCCATGTTCCCTCAGAACATGTAAATCTATAACTTACCATGAAATATTATAAACCTCTGATATTTGCTTGTCTGCCACCCCTACCGCAATCACAAAACTGGAAGCTTGAGAGCAGGAACACTTTCATTCATGTCTGCATCCCAGTTTTTGGCACAGAACTTGGCTAATAATAGTTAAGAAAGCTATGACTAGATGGAAAAAAAAACCCTAACAAATAAAAATCTATATCTGATAGTACTTTTACCACTGATCTGGTATAAAGAAAACTCCCTTCTCTAAACAACTATGAAGCCAGGCTGATTTGTAATTGAATTATCACTGCACTCAAGACATCTGCTCCTAAAATCTTCCTCTGACACAGGTTTTGCTTCCCTATAGCTAGTTCAAGAAGCTCTTAGTCCTCAGTAAAGAAGTATGATCTTCCCAGGCAAAGTAAAGGAGCTATACAGACCAACTGATATTATTTCAGTTACTGAAGAAGGAAGGACTCATCTTTTAGCTGACATGAAATGTTCTTTTTAACCAAAGATACTTCTATAAAAAAAAGCAGTGTGAGGCATGAGATGATAAATCATGCATTCCTTTAATTCAGTATTCACCAAGTAACTAACATATGTCAGGCACTGTTTTGGTCTGAGGTTAAAAATAAAATGCATGCATAGAGAGTTATATAGAAGTATAAGGAAGATGTCCTAAATGTCGAAATTCTGGTTGCTAAGCAGGAAGTTAAAGTCTGCAACATTGAGTCATCTCCATAAACTGTCAGTGAAGAGAGAAGACTTGTGGGAAAGGTAGAGCTCTAATGTATCAAACTTTAGATAATGTATGGAAAAGACTAGCCAGTCACCTGTTTTCTCTCCTTCTAGCACATAGCTAAATTACATTTCCCAGCCTCCCTTGCAGTCAGAGGAGTTGCCATGGGTCCAAGAGCTACCCAATGGAAGCTACAAGAGATGTGCACCACTTCGGTGACTGGCCTCAGAAAACCTTTCATGCATTATCTTCCAAGCTCTTTCCCCTTCTGCAAGTTCATGCACACTAGTCCAGTGGCCTTGGATGCCACATATTAAAGATGGCAGTGCCACAGGGTGGAAGAAGTCTGTGCCCATGAGTCACCCCTTCAAAGAGAGCCATACACTGACTAGAAATACCTATTTTAGACTTTAAATGGATAAAAATAAACCATAATTCTGTTTAAACCATTATGTTTAGGTGCTTGTAAAGCAGCTAGCATAATCTAATCATTACATGAGATAAAGAGCAGAATTCTAGATCTATAGTATAGTATGACAGGAACAAAAAAAGTTATTAATTTTCAATACCCTCCCACCACCTCTCCCAAAGGGAAAGAATTCACTGCCTGTGCTGACTGGACAGAGGGTGCACCGAGGCTTTTGTTGTGTGACTGGGATAAATAGCGAAGGAGTGAAGAATGGCAGAAACTGAGGACAGACCAAATTTCTCTAAAAGAAAAAGCTATATGGAGGTAGTAAGGAGAGAAGGACCAGCATGTGGCTGAACAAAGAGAAAAAGAGGCAGAGACAGAAGGAGAGGAGGAGAAATAGAGTAACAGGCAGAGACATAGAGACAGAGATGGGAAATGGAGAATTGGGACAAACAGGCAACTGATTAAAAAAAAAAAAAGTGGGACTTTGGAGAGAGAAAACGATAATGAGGAGCCCCAAGATGACTTACTGTGTGTTGAACCATGTGATTCTTCCTTCCCTGCCCCCTCAAGAAAACCTACAATAAAGAGCTATATCACTTTTCAAGGAATTTTTGAGCCGGATTTCTGTTTCTCATGGACATGCTACTTTGCTGGAATAGATCTTAAGGCAAAGAGAAGACCAGCTTTTTTTGGATTACAATAGTACAGAAAAATGTAGGTTTTCTGTTTGTTTCAGTTAAACAAGAAGAGGTGGGTAAACCGAAGAGGCACCATATGTCTACTACCAAACAACTGAAATAGTAGTAAACTTTTTTAATTAAAAATTTAGAGAAAATGTATGAATTCAGAAGAATGAAAGATGTCAACTGAGTAACAGTATAATAAGGCAAACCAATTTTGGGCTTTAGAGATAAAATGTAGAGAACAAAATAATTCACCAGAAAATTCATATATGTATAAAGTGACATTTAAAAGCCAGACTAAAATAAATATAGCTTCCACCAGAGTTCTGGAAGACTTTAAAATAAACAAATTTGATATTTAATATAAAATGAAAATGCTGGCATAACCAGCATCAAAGACATTTGATAAAAGAAAGATATCTAAAAAGAATTCTGGACTATCATGCTGTAATCACTTTTGGAAACAAGAAATAGGAGAAGAGCTTGGGATGTGGCATTAAATGTGAAAGACAGAATGAACATAATGCATTGGTTGTAGAAATAATAACAGACAAGGTACTATAGATTTTATCAAAGAAATAGTAAAATTATTTGAATTGGTATCTATCCTTTCTAAACTACCATATAAGCTCTTTGATAGGAGACTGTAAAGATACCTTTGTATTCTGTCTCAAACACAGAGTTTGACCTATATTTGGTACTTAATAAACATTAGGTAATGGGGGTAGGTAGGTAGGGATGCAAATATGGCAGTGGAATATACTATAGACTGAGAAAACATCTGAGTTGGAAATATTCACCAAAACAAGGGAGAATACCAAACTACATTGCTAGATTGACTTAATGAGATAAAAATGTGCTAGGATGATACAGTACATAGCAAGCTCTGAAATTTTTCCTTCTCCAATTTCATGTTTTTACTTTCTTCTTGATTTTTTTCCTTAATATTGTTGTTCTAAAAATTCTTAAGCTAACAGAAACAAAATTTCAACTTAAGGTAAAATTTTCATACACCTATTAAAAATTCATAATCTACAATAAAACAAACTCACCAACTGGATGAGTGATGGTGTTCTGTAGGCTGGGAATTACCACAGAGTAGGTAGGTGAGCGATAAGGATATATTGTTGTAGGATTTGTAGAGATGATATTCTGTGTGGTGCCAGAAAATACATTGGAAACACTTAGAGGGAAGCGTTTTCGCTTCCCTGGACGAGGTTGATAAACCCAACCTATAGAAGAAGATAAGCAATTTTTAATTTGAACATAAAGACCCTATTTAGCCTTTAAATAGTTCTTTTTCACAATAAAGAATCCAAAATACTTCTAAATTAAAAAAATAAGTTATTGTCTAAAGTGTCTTTTCTAACTTAATTATGTGATTTCTGTGCATTTTAATACCCATAGAGCTCCTAACTAGTGGTCAATATTGTAACCCATGATTCAAAGGAAGAGTTAGGGCAAATGTCTTATAACCAAAGACACATATTGAACCCATTGTAAAATCAACATTAAAGACATTGAGTTTGAATCCCAAAGCTTTTCCTTTACTTATAAAATAATGCCCCTGTAAGATATTATTCATCTCCTGTTCCCTCACTTTCTATGAGATATTACTGTCTCTATCTTACAATGGAATGGTCACTAATGACCAGTCACTATTTTTATACCTGGCTTAGGAAGAATCACTCTCCTAAACTTGGCAATCCCAAGTCCACAAACAACCCAATTTCCTTCCAAAGTCAGAAGAGTGGAGTTTAACAGTTTGTAGCCACTGTATAACCAGGGGAATCACTGGTTCTCTGTAACTGTTGCCTCTGACACCCAAAACATTTCTGCTCATATTTTAGAAAAAAATAACTCTTTTCCCATCATGCATGATCATATTGGCCATACACTTTGCTTTTACCCAAGCTTAATCTAAATGTCCTCATGGCTGGGGAGTAAGTCAGAAATTGTTTCAAACTACATCATGATGAGGATAAATTTGGCAGTTAGAAGACATAATTATGTTCTCATAACCATATAACATTAAAATGGAGCATGGTGTCAATCCCTGCATTCTCATTGTCTTTAAGTGTATGATGCATATTTGTTTCTGTTGCTATGATTTGAACTCTTCATTTTCTAGTGTATTTGTAAAATTGTAGCCTGGAACTCTGGAGTTTCACCTTTATTAAGTTCATATCTGTATATTTAATCGAAACCACACTAAAATTATGTCCCCTGGTTTGTTATTAGTTGGCAAATATAAGACCAGATATTCCTCTACTTGGTTCTATTTAAGAAAACGTATGCCATGTATCAACTCAATCATTACTATAATATTAGCCATTATTCTCTTTATTGTACATATCAGATTAGAAAAAAAATGCATTTTTGTCTTTCATCCTTAACCTAACCTAATCTTTACCTAAATAAATTTAAAAGAAATTAGAAAGAAGTTTTGTTTATTTCATTTGATTACCAGGAAATTCCTCTCTGTGCTTTTCTTTAATCTTTTGTGCTTCATCATAATAGGGTTTCTTTTGTTCTTCACTAAGTTTGTTCCACTCTAACCCGAGCTGGACACTGATTTCTGCATTGTTGGCTGCTGGGTTAGCTTTGGCTAGTGCTGGCCGGTGAATCCTTGCCCAAACCATAAATGCATTCATGGGTCGCTTCACATGACCATTTCTGTCCTTACTGAAAGGAGTATCTGGTATTCCTACATGACAAAAATTAAGAGACTGAATTAATGTGCCACACACGCACACACACACACACACACATAATGTTAAAGTGAAGTGCACCTTCATCTATATTTATTTTTTAACTGGAGAAAATATAGTCAAAGAACTGTCAGTATTCCAGAATGCCTCATAACCCCTGAACTCAGCATTCTAAACTATAGCTTAGAATGACTCTTCTTTTCCTCAAAAAGAATAATATTGTTGAAGATATTGTACGAGTAATAATGTTGAAGACAAAGTAAACTGTTGGCTTATTACTTCTTTGGGCTTTGGTAATATCTCTACCAGTAATTAATTTAGTTTCTTTCCCATTAAAAATATTCTATTACTGGGGGACAGAAACTACGACTTATTCATGACTATAATCCTAGCACTAGCTAGGTGTTCCCTAAACGTTTAAAGGAACTCATTTACATGCCCCTGTAGTGTCTGTTCAAGTAAAAATATTTATAATATAATACTATATTCTATTTCATTATGAAGGTGAAGCTCTTGCCAAGGTGGGTCATTGACACTAACCCTATGTCCTGGGAGAAAAAATAAAAGAAAAATAATAAAAGTGACTTTTTGAGAGTCCCAGAACAAGTTGAAATTACAATAAAGGTAGCTAAATTCACATCTCTTACCTAATTCATCAAAAACAACTGTCTGTAAACTTCTACTGTTTCTCTTTATTTTAGTTACTTGATATATGAGTTTTTAAAATGCACAAAGGATTGAATAAGTATTATATAGAAAGCTTTCCCTTTCCTTTAGAAAATGAAGTTTATAAAAGCAAGAGGGTGAGATGGAGATAAAGGGTCAGTAAGGAAAATAAGAAAACAGTAAATATAAAAGTTAATGAAAATATGAACTGATATGATTTTCCATGACATTAATTGGCATAAAATTATCTGAATTAAATCTTAAAATAAGAATTTTCTAACTATATATTCATAAATAATGGATAGCAATAAAATATTTGTAGTTGTTACTGCTAACTACATTTTTTAAAACAATTTCTAGCTTATTCTACAGTATTTTCATTTTCTATATTTCTATAAATCCTTAGCTTTTAGAATACTAAAGTGTTACATTTAATCATGTACTGTTTTCTCTTAGAAAAATGTTTACTATTCATTTTTAAAGATGACAAATTACCTCCAAATTCAGTATAAACTCTCCTGTTTGATTATAAACATTTTTTCATTAAACAAGACTTAAAGTTTTCTTCTTGGGGCGCCTGGGTGGCTTAGACGTTTAAGCGTCTGCCTTTGGCTCAGGTCTGGATCTCAGGTCTGGCTCCCAGCTTAGAGGGGAGTCTGCTTCTCCCTCTCCCTCTGCCCCTCCCTCCGTTTGTGCTTTCTTTCTTTCTCATTCTCTCAAATAAATAAAATCTTTAAAAATTTCTTTTTCTTCTTGATACACGTAAAAATATTGAACTACTATAATAAAGTGTAGCATAGAAACTGAGGGTTGAAATAACTGTGTTTATAGTGAGAATATTTCTATTTTGTGTATAAACATTAGTCGCCTCTAAATCTCATCATTCACTGGGCCTTAAAATAGATTTTTTTAAAAATGTTTGGGAATCTTGGAACATGTTAGTGTATTTTACTGGTATATGTACAAGTCAATTGGAAGTGATACCTGTGCAGACTCTGCCCTGTAATGAATCAGTTCCATGATTTTATTTTTCTAGTTTAGGCTTCTGAACTGCTGACATGTCAGCTATGGGGCAACACAGACGAAGTTTGAAAACCAGATTCCCCTGCCGTCTAATACCTGCATCTGAGGGAAGCACGGTGAGCGGGACATCTTTGGTTTCAATTTTTACAGAAGGCTGCAGTAAAGATTGCATTTTAATAGGCACTGGTGTCAAGGGGACCTTGGTCAACCGTATCAGCTCTGAAGGTGGAGGTCCCTGAAATTGGATCCGGGCCCCAGGGGGGACCGTGTGGAGAGTCAAAGGGATCCTGAGGTCTTGCTGGTGTGGCCCAAAGGCACTGGATGGCTGGGCTAGGATGGCTTCCCTGCTGCCATGGACCAGGCCATTGGACGCGGGCTCCGTGCCCAGCCTGCAGTCCTCGCGGAGTCTCTCGGGCTCCTCCGTTTTGATGACTCCTTCTCTGATGGTCGCCAGGTTTTTGCCTTCCCCGCCTTTCGCCACGTCCCTTATGACCTCCTCCGCCTCCAACTTGCCCTTCTTCTCGTCCCCTCGGCGCCAGTCGAGAGCTGGCCCCGGGCCTTCCACCTTGGCCGCCCTGGAGGCTCTAGGGCCCGCCTCCACAGGCCTTCGCGTCCCCGCCGACGGATCCAAGCCGGGCCCCTGTTCCTGCTTCTCGGCCTTGACGTGCAGCGCCCGGGGCTGCACTGGATGCAACTCGGGTCTGCAGGGGGCGCCGTCGGACGCGGGCGGCGGCGGTGGCAGCAGCAGCAGCTCGGGCCTCAGCTGCAGCAGCCGTGCTTGCGCGGGAGAAGCGACGACGCCTTCGTCCCGGGCCTGAGCCAGTGGTGGCCCAGGCGGCAGCAGCAACACCTGCTCCGGCTTCACCTGCAGCAGCCGCCGTGCCGCGGGTTGTACACCCGACGCCTGGGCCTCCCTGCACGACGAGGCCACGGTCGCAATGGCGGCCGCGCACGGGGTGGGCGGCGACGGCGGGAGCTCCGCGGCCTCAGCCCTAAAGGAGGCGCCCTCGACCGGCAGCTGGGGAGGAGCAGGGCGGAGCGGGCGCGGCGGGGTTGCCCGTGGCAGTTGGCGCGGCTGAGGCTGCGGCTCTGGCCTGGCTCTCTCCATGGGGGGAGGGGGACGCCCCGGCCTGGTCCCAGCCCGGATTGTGAGCTCAGCCGTTTGTTGGCGACCTTCCCCCTACCCCTTTCGGTTAAGACCCTTCCAAGGCCCTTGCTACCCAGAACCCTACGCGGTTCAAAAAGCGGCCCTCCGTCTTGGCCTCGCCCAATCACAAGCGTCCCGATCCCCCCGGCCCTCCAATCACAGGCGCATTCTCCGGCCCTTCCCGCCCTCCGCTCTCTCCTCGCGCTGAGCCCTCGAATCACCCGCGTTGGCCTGGGCTGTGACACGTGCTGCGCATTTTCCCTCTCTGACTTGGCCTCTCTTCCGGAGTTCTCATCCAGCCGTTGTCCTTAGTTACCCCTCCCCCGCCCGGAGAGCCCGACAATGGTGTTGCCCAGGAAACGGTGTGGTTCCACGTCACTGGCCTCCAGAGGATAAAGTCCAGTGAGTCCCCAGGCTTTGTATGCGCGGTTTGCCCTGGCTAATACAAGAAAGGCCCCGGGCATCACTTTGGGCCTTTGGATCTGTGTCAAGGGAAAAGGGGGGAGACTTTGCAACTACCCCTTTTGTACAATAACTGTACTAGTTAAACTTTCAATTAATCACCAGGTTCTTTGGGCCTTACTTGCAAAAATACATCCCAAATTCATCCACTTCTTTGGGCTTCCACCGCCATTACTCTGTTCCAAGCTTCCATCATCTTTCACCTGGATATGCCGTCGTTGTGTGAATAGTCTCCATTTTTCTCCCTTGTTCCACTATGTTCCAAATGCCAGAGATCTTTTTGAAAGTGCAAATCTAGTTCTGTCACACCCCACGCTCCTAAATATTCCCATGGCTCCCCCCTGACCACATGATAAAGGTCTAATATACTTGCAAAGCATATAAAGCCCCAATGTGGCTTGGGCTCTGTGGACTCCAGCCGCACTGGCCTCTCATCATTCTACCTTAAGGGGCTTTGAATGCTGTTTCTCTCTTGTGTCTCCTTACCTCCTGCTCATTTTTTAAATTGCAGTTCAACTGTCACTTTCTCAGAGAAGTCTTATTATCTGATTCTGAAAATCAGGTCAAATCTCCTTTATGCACTCATATGTCCATCACTTGTTTTAAAACTTTTACCACAATTCGTAATTATGTATTTCTTTATGTCATTATTCTACTGAATCCACTACTTGACTATAAACTCCTTGAGGACAGGCAGTGTTTTGCTCATTATTGAATCCTCAATGCTGATGCATAGAGCCTGGCTTTAGTAGGCATTCAGTAAATATTTGTTAGATAAATAAGGACTGCCATAGTCTAATAATAACATAGTAATTACTACCTATTTTAAGGGCTTACTTTTATACTAGGCACTACTCCAAGTCATTTCCATGACTATGCTTCTCCTTTTCTAGGACTGTGCTATTTTCATCAAGAAAAAGAAATCTTGTATTAACATTTGCTCCATTTCTAAATGATGTCCTGACTAAAAGCTATAGATTTATCTTGAAGCAAATAATTTTTGCAACCAAGACAAGTTATCTTTCAAATAAGATCTGCCCAATTCTCTAATCGCCTGTTGTCAAATGTGGCAAACAGGAGTTCTTATACCTGGCAGGGAGACAGGGGCATTGGTGGTTCTCAAACTTTATTATCTTGGAACCCTTTACACCCACCAAGATGATTGAAGATTCCAAAGAGCTTTTATTTATCAATATTTGTAATTTTATCTATCAATATGGTTTTATCTATAAATATTTGCCATATTATAAATAAAAACTAAGGACTTTAAAAAAGTTATCAATTCACTTAAAATATCAATAAGAAACCCATTACATATTAACATAACACATTTTTATGCCAAAACTGTGTTTTCCCCAAAATTAGAAGAGTGGCAATGTAAATCTAGTCTGGATTAATTAAAAAAAAAAAAAAAGAAAGAAAGAAGGAAAAAGAAAACATTCATTTGATAAAATCCAACAAATATAATAAAGCTCTCAACAAACTAGGAATAGAATAAAATTTCAATTTGATGAAAGGCAGCTATAAAAACAGTTGGATTCTCATGTTTGCTTCATGCAGTCTGTTGTGATTCACATGTCATATGGAAAGCTTCATGGTGCATTCATGAGAGAATGAGGTGAAAAAGGCAAATATTGTCTTAGAATTATTATGAAAATAGTATTAACCTAGCAGACTTTCAGAAAGAATTGGTCCCTGAACCACATTTTGAGAACTGCTGAGCTAGGTTTTAAATAGAAGAGCCAAGTATGTGCACAAAGAATGATAAAAGAGGCATTCACCCAAGTTGAATGTATTAGTAATTCATTCTTTTTTTATTACAGAGTAGTATTCCATTGTATGGAAATACCAAATTGTACATAGATACTTTGTTGTAAGATGTCTCTCACTCATCTTGTTTATCCACTCACTAGCTGATGGGTATTTGGATTATTTCTAGGTTTTGGCTGCTGTGAACATAATGTCCATTCATATACAAATATTGGTGGTACCTAGGAACAGAATTGCTAGGTTATATGGTAAATATATGTATAACATTTTACAAAACTGTCAAACTGTTTTGCAAAATGTATGTACCATTTTACATTTCCACTCACAATATATGAGGGTCCCAGTTTCTCTGCTTCTTCTCCAACATTTAGTATCATAAGTCATTTAAATTTTAGCCATTCTAGTGGGTATGTAGTATATGTAGTAGTAAATAATTGTGATTTAAAATTATATTTTCACAGGGTGCTCGGTGGCTCAGTCAGTTAAGCACCTGCCTTTGGCTCAAGTCGTGACCCCTGGGTCCTGGGATTGAGCCCCATGTCAGACTCCCTGCTTAGCAGGGAGTCTGCTTCTCCTTCTGCCCCTCCCCCAGCTTGTGCTTGCTCTCTGCTCTCTCTCTCAAATAAATAATTTAAAAAATAAGGTTTCACAATGAATAATGACACTGTCTTTTCATCTGCTTAGTTGCTATTCATATATTTTCATTGCCTAGTGTCTATTAAAGTCTTTTTGCCCATTTTTTTAGATAGGGTGGTTGGTTTTCTTAATTTTGATTTTTAGGGATTTTTTTTTTAGGGTTTCTTAATATGTTCTGGATACAGGTTCTTTATTAGATATATGTTTGCAAATATTTTCTTCCAGGCTTTTGCTTTTTTTCATTCTTTTTATTTTTCATTCTTAATGGTATCTTTGAAGAGCAAAAGTTTTTTAACTTTAATGGAGTCTAGTTTATCAATATGCCTGTCATCATATCTAGGAAATCTTTGCCTAACCTAAGGTTAAAAAGGTTTTTCTCTCAGGTTTTTCTCTGGAAGTGTTATGTCGCACTGTCTTGATTACTACAGCTTTATGGTAAATTTTGAAATTAGGTCAAGTAAGTCCTCAAATTTAGTTCTTTTTCAAAACCATATTAGCTATTTTTGGTCTTTTGGATTTCCATATAAATTTTAGCATTAGATTATCAGTTTTCACCAAAAGAAAAAATCTATCAGTATTTACATAAGAACTGCATAAATCTGTGGATCAATTTGGGGAAAAGAGATATCTTAACAATATTGAGTCTTCTGATTTGCAGACTTGGGGCATATTGGCATTTATTCTGGTCTTTAATTTTTCTTGATAATGTCCTGTAATTTTCAGTGTACAGTCTGTACTTCTTAAATTTATTCCTGAATATTTTTATACTGTTGTAAATATAATTTTTCTTAATTTCATTTCTAGTTGGTTGAATATTGATATTATATTTTCTTGCCTATTGCACTGGCTAGAAGCTCCAGTCCAATGTTGAAGATAAGTGGCAAGAGTGGATATCCTTGTTTTGTACCTAATATTGAGGGAAAACATTGTCTTTCATCTTTAAGCATGATGTTAGTTATAGGTTTTATATAGCTGCCTTTCATCAAATTGAAATTTTATTCTATTCCTAGTTTGTTGAGAGCTTTATTATATTTGTTGGATTTTATCAAATGAATTTTCTACATCTATTGAAATGATCATATGACTTTATCCTTTATTCCAGGGGTCAGCAACATCTTTCAGAAAGGACCATATAGTAAATATTTTTGGTTTTGTGAGCTAGCTATATGATCTCTGTTGTAATCAATCAACTTTGCTCTTGTAGCATGAAAGCAATTATAGACAACATATGAATGAATGGGCATAATTGTATTCCAATAAAACTTTATTTACAGAAACAAAAGACATACCAAATTTGGTCTGTGGATGGTAGTTTGCTGACTCCTGCTTTATTCTATTAATATATGCATTGCATTAAGTAATATTTAGGTGTTAAACTATTCTGGGTAAACCTTGGGTAAATACTTGGTCAAAATATGTAATCCTTTTTATACATCACTGGATCCAAATACTATTCTTTTAAGAATTTTAACATTTATGTACATGAAGGGTATTGGTCTGTACTTTTCTTATGATATCTTTGCAGCTTTGATGTCAGGGTAAAATGAGCTGGAAAGTGTTCTCTTCTCTTTTTTAAAGGGTTTGTATTTAATTGCTATTATTAATTCCTTAAATGTTGATAGAATTCACCAGGAAAGGGGCATCTGTGTGGCTCAGTCAGTTGGGTGTCCAACTCTTGATTTTGACTCAGGTCATGGTCTCAGGCTTCTGGGATTGGGCCCTGCATCAGGCTCAGCACTCAGTGGGGAGTCTGCCTGAGGATTTCTCTCCCTCTCCCTCTGATCCTCCCCCTACACACTCCTTCTCTCTCTCTTTCACTTTCTCTCTCTCTCAAACAAATAAATGGATCTTTAAAAAAAAAAAAAAGAATTAACTAGTAAAGGAAGCCATCTGGGTCTCAACTTGCCTTTATTTTTCAGTAACTCAATTAAATAATTTAATGTCTTTACTTGATATTGGCCCATTCAGATTTTGTATTTCATCTTGAGTCAATTTGGTCATTTCTGTCTGCAAATTTGCCCATTTCAACTAAGTTATTAAATTATTGGTATAAGGCTGTTTATGGTATTCATTTATCATTTTTAAATTTCTGT